CATTATCATTATATTCTCTTCTTCATTTCTGCAAAATCTTGCACTCAAATCAGTTTGTAAATTGCCAAAATAATAACCTTCTAATAAGCAGCCTCCGACCGCGCTCCTCCTCTCTAGCTGGGAGCTCAGCTGGCCACACCCCAGACCCCTGCCAACGCCAACGCATTCGCATTTCATTCGCCTTTAGCGAGCGTCTGGCTAAATCAGTGGAAGGCGACTCCACACACACAGTCAGACACAAATATTTCAGACATTTTTATCGTTTGGCGTCTTCGATTTAGCCACCCGCAACAACAACAACAACAGCAGCAGCAGCTGCAACCCCTTTCACCTCAAGGTATATGATAACGTATCCGTTCCGTCTCGTGCTTTGCTTTAGTCTTTGACTTCCTTTTGGCCCTGGCTTAGTTTTCATTCCTCTTGGTTTTTCTTATCTCGTTCGGCTCGTTGCGTGCGTGCTTTTTGCCTCGTTTTACGACTATCCTTAATTTTTCCGCTTTTCTTTGCGTTTCCCTGTGTTTTTTTGCGACGTGTTTCTATTGCCGGCAATAACTGCTCCAGCAGATTTTTCCCCATTGATGTGATTTGCCGTCTGTTCTTTTCCAGTTTTCCTGCATTTCCGTTTTGTTTCTTTTTGTGTTTAGCTCACATTCTCATTTTTTATTTTCGTGCCTCAGATTTTTTTCGGTTTGTAAATTTATGCGCCATAAAAGCGGAGCAAAAATATATTTTACATACTTACATATACATGCTGTGTGTGTGTGTGTGTGTTTGTTTACTTATTCATGAGTTTCATTTCGATCCGAAACTCTAAACTCATCTGCGCATTCAACAAACACCTTTGGCCCCGTCAAGGCTGCTTAACAAATCAATAAGTTAAAGCTTCTTTGATTTCTTTTAAAGAGCTGACCTCAAATTATTGTTTAAAGACATTTTTGCTGGAATTTATTTTTGAAATTGACTTCACTTGCTGACTTCGAATGTTTTATAATATTAATGAATGTAAGTTATAAAGCAATAAATTTTGGTTGCCCAAAAAAAAAATATATATATATATATATTTTAGAATATATTCATTTCAAATTATTTTTCATATAAAAAATTTTGCAGAGATAAATTAAAAAAAAAAAATCGTATTAAGCAAAAACAAAGCAAATAAATTCATAAATATTTTCTTGTTACATTCTACTAAAATATAATATATACATTTTAAAATACTCAAAATACTTCTCATTTCTTTAACTCTTTTTTACAAATTCAGCACCTTGAGGAAGAAAATCATTTCTAATAATATAAAAGCTTTGTTTAATTTTATGTGAAACTTTTAATATAATTATAAAAATCTACCAATTATAACTGTGATAGGAATAGCTCGAGCTAAATGAGTTTTATAATTTCTGCTGGAATTCCCTTTACAAAGAAATAACTTTCAATTACATATATATTTTGTTCCATTATATGATTATAAGTATGTTTGATTGTCTCCCCTTCTCACTCTAACGAATTCTCTTTTGTCTACCATAAAAAAATAAAATCAGAAATCAAATCTCAACGCATACCAAGGATATTAAATTCTGATTCTATGCGTTGAGCTTAAAGCTAAATATAATTTTTTTTATTCGTATTTTTGTTTGTTTGGCCAACGCTGCGTATGCGTTATTTTGTTATGAGACTCGAGGAAAAGAAACATGAAATGTTAAAAGAGCAAAGCAAAGTGAAATATAAAACGTGTTGAACTGAAAGGATTTGCCGAGTGTGCTGCTACAATACACACACATACACACACACACGCACACCAAGACAGTTAGACAGACGTAAAATATTAGAAGAGTAAAAGAAAAGCAGCGCAGAAGCAAGCAAAGATTTAAAAGAATTTCCACAATGTGATGCAATAAAAATCCTTGAAATCTGTACATACAAAAACCCCGACAGCCCCAGCACCACTCCTCCCCCCACTTGCCTCCTCCACCCGAAAACAACACAGCCCAGCCTCAGTCCACTTGCCGCTCTGCTGGCCCCCCTCCCCCTCTCTGGCTGCCTATACATACATACAGATAGCCCCCACACACAGCTTGGCGTGTTAGTTAGAGCAGCCAGGCAGCTAACCAGAGTTACCCTGCAACTCCTCCCCAGCCCCCTCACTGCCAGGCGTTCGCTTTCTCTGAGAGCGCCCACATTGCCAACTGCCAGCTGCCAGCTGGAAACTGCCAACTGCCAACTGCCGACGGGCGTCGGCCGACGGGATTTGGATTTGGGTCTCGTTAGTGCTCGTCGCTCGTTTGCTGTGATAAATAATAAAAGCTGCTCTATAATCTCTGCGACTACGTGACGTTATTTGTGCCGATAGTGCACGAACGTGCCCCGAGCAGCAGCAGCGGCAGCAGCAGCAGGTCTCGACCAGAACGAGAAACCCTTCAGCCTTCAGCCAGCAGCGCAGTAGCTCTGCCTGCCACGGAGTACATGCTCCGCAAGGACGAGCACTCGAGCTAGTCGTGGCAGTCGTTCGACCCGAGAGCTACTACAGCATGACTACTCAATTTTTGTATTTTTGTATTTTTTTTTACTGCTACAGCTGCGTCTGCCACGCCTCCACGTTGCTTCAGCTGCTCCTTAAGCACAACGACGGCGACTCCTGCCGCGGGAGCCAAAGTTGAATCAGAGCACATCCCAACGGTCGAATGTTTCAGAATCACGTCGCTGCAATTCCATTATATACTTACAGAGACTGTGCTCACATACACATACATACATACACATACATATACATATATATACTTTGGTATATAAAAGTGCCTTCTGTTTCATTGTTATTTTATGTCTGTGTGTGTGTGTGTATGTGTGTGTGTGTTTACTTTATATATACATTGTTCACTGCTTTCGCTCGCCTCTCACTCATATTCCCTGGCAAATTTAAAACTCAAGTTAACATTTTGTAGTCAAAGTCTGTTAGAGTGTGTTTGTGTGTGTGTGTATGGGTCTATGGAGCATGGGCATATATCGCTGTCAATGACATTATCTCTACTAGCCAAGATAAGCTCACACAATAATTGTGAGGCTCCACTGGAAAGATTATAAAAAATAGACAATCTCTTCGATTTGTTACATATTTATATGTATATATATTGTGGTATGTATATATGGTATATACATATATGTAGAGTGTACAATTTGATTGCTTTCCAAAGAAAAACAAACAACACTCCATATTTATAAATACACTGAAAAAAGCAAGCAACTTTAGCTTTTGGCAGAAGGAAATGAAGTTTTATACAATATATTTTTTATAAAACTAAGCCAACATTTTTACTTGCAATATTTAATAATAATATGCTATAGCAAACTGAAAATTTTTTTTAATAATGTCCCAAGCATTCATAAATATTTTATATATAGCTATGTTAACCAAAAAAGGAAATAAATAAATAAAAGAATATGAAAAAAATAAAAATAAATAAAATCAGCAATACTTAAGTAATTTTAAAAAATAATTTTTAAACATTTTTAGTCATATTTTTCAATAAATTCTTCAGCACTTAGCAATGCTTAAGCTAGAATTGAAATATTTGAAATATAGCTATGACAACAATAAATCATAAACTGATTAGATAGATCCACAGCATATAGAGCCAGCTCTCAGCTTTTGATAAGTGCGAATCAAATCGGAAATGAAATTTTGATAGCACTGGGCGCCGACTAGCCACAAAATGGCAAAAGAACAAGAGGAAGATAACTTCAATTAGGGTGGGCCAGCCGGAAGTCTCTAATGAAAAATTAAACAGTTTAAAAATGCGCTCGAGATGACCATAAAAAGAAGAAGAAAAGGAACAAGTTGAAGGAACAGCAAAATTGATGTAAAAATGCTTTAAAAAAGTTTTCATAGAAATTTTGTGGATTTTTATGTGGTTGCTGGCTTTAAGTGCTGCACAAACCACAAAACACCACACAGATGAACCAAAAAGTTGAAATTTAAAAACTCAATGTGTGTGGCGCAGAGACAGACTCAGAGACAGAAACAGAGCCAGGAGCGGGGGCGAGGGTGGAGGCAGAGTGTGAGAGTGGGGCTGGGGTCGACTTGTCGCTGTGGTTTTTCGGCAACGTCGACGCCATTGCAGAGTACGAAGACTTACAGAGCGTCGAGCGCAGAGGCTGCGTGCTGTGGGGGTTGTCTCGCCGCACAGACTTTTTGGGGGGTTGCATGGGGGTGGATTGCTGGCCGGGTTCTTGGTCATGAAAGCAAAGCTGCCTAAAATGGGGCACACTGCTTGCTTGGCGAAATGCGAAATGTGAAATGCGAGATGCACAAGTGCAAAATCGCCTATCGATTTTAGTTTCCACTCACTAACCCATTCTCTCTCTCTCTCTCTCTCTCTCTCTCATTTTTATTGCAGGCGAGAAACCGCACAAGTGCCAGGTGTGCGGCAAAGCGTTCAGCCAGAGCTCCAACCTGATCACCCACTCCCGCAAGCACACGGGCTACAAGCCCTTCTCCTGCAAGCTCTGCCACAAGTCCTTCCAGCGCAAGGTGGATCTGCGCCGGCACAAGGAGACCCAGCACACGGATCTGCGCGTGCACCTGGGCAAGGTGGACTTCATGTCGGCCGCCGCAGCGGCTGCAGCTGCAGCCGAGCTAAATGCAGCGCCCGGACAGAGCATCGGCATCGGCCAGGCGCCAGCTCAGCCGACGGGACAGACGGCCGTGAATGGGACTCCGGTGAACTCGATGAACTGCCAGAAGGTATCGTTGCTGGCATAACAGCAAACAGAGCCGGTGCCGGTGCCAGTGCCAGCACCAGTTCCAGTTCCAGTTCCAGCTCCAGCTCCAGTTCCAGCTCCAGCTCCCACTAGCCGGAATCATTGTGCAATAGCTGGCATTTCCATTTGCCGTTAATGAAATTTAAGTAGTTCAAGCCGCAAGCAACCGAACAGAAATTTCCCTTGTTGCCAAACAGAAGAGAAAACAACACAAAAAGAAGAAAAATATAACAAATAGTTGCATACCAAATACCATAATAAACTATATACCAAAGAGCAGTTAAATCAAATAACTCAAACTCTATTTCCCCCTCTCTCTCTCTCTGTAATTCATTCTCTCTCTATCTCACTCCCTCAGCACACAGAAATCATAAAGAAATTTCAATTGTTTTTTGTAAATTCTATATAAATATATGCATATTCGATATGTTTGTCTGTATGTGTGTGTGATTGTATTTGGATTAATATACATGGAATTTAACGATTAAAGATATATGTATATACACACATATATGTATGTATATGTACGTATATCTTCATAGCTGCTACACATTGAATATACATATATACAAAATTAAAAATGTAATGCCAAACGGCGTCGAAAATCAAAATGCAAATCGAAGCCATGAATCGTGCGTGTACTAACTGTAAAATGTAATTAAAAAACAAAAAGTTAAGCAAAAAACCAAACAAGAAAACCAAATATTAATAATAATTATTAAAAATGTTCCACATTTTCGCTTCTAGATAGTTGTGAAATTTTAAACGCTATTTTGATATTATATCATTCCAATGAATTTAGTCTAATTAATGAATTTTTAACTTATTTATGCATATGTGTGTATGTATGTAAAAATATGAATGCTAAATAAATATATTTTCATTTGAATGTTCCAAAAATACAAAGAAAAATGAAAGAAAAATCACAACAAAAAAACACGTAAAAATCTAACATACATTTTAAGTATTTTTATGTTTTCCAATAAATTAAATTTATTAAGCAATTAAAACTAAATATCATCA